GAACAGACACTTCTCAAAGAAGATATTCATGCAGCCAACAAACATGAAAAAAGCTCAACATCACTGATCATTGGAGAAATGAAAATCAAAACCACAGTGAGATACCATCTTATGCCAGTCAGAATGGCAATTATTAAAAAGTCAAGAAACAGCAGATACTGGTAAGGTTACAGAGAAAAAATAACACTTTTACACTTTTGTTGGGAATGTAAATTAGTTCAACCATTGTGGAAGACAGCATAGTGATTTCTCAAAGGTCTAGAAGCAGAAATACCATTTGACCCAGCAATCCCGTTACTGGGTATATACCCAAATGAATATAACCTATTCTATTATAAAGATATATGCACATATGTATTTACTGCAGCACTATTTACAATAGCAAAGACATGGAATCAACCCAAATGCCCAGTAATGATAGACTGGATAAAGAAAATGTGGTACATACACACCATGCAATACTATGCAGCTATAAAAAGGAAAGAGATTATGTTCTTTGCAGGGACATGGATGGAGTGGGAAACTGTTATCCTCAGCAAAGTAATGCAAGAAGATAAAACCAAACACCACATGTTCTCACTTAGAAGTGGGAGCTGAATAATGAGCACACAGAGACACATGAGAGGAACAACATACACTGAGGCCTGTTGGGGGTGGGGAGAACATCAGGAAGAATAGCTAATGGATGCTGAACTTGTCACCTAGGTGTTGGGTTCATCTGTGCAGCAAACCACCATGATACATGTTTACTTATGTAACAAACCTGCACATCCAGCACATGTACCCCAGAACTTAAAATAAAAATTGAAGAAAAAAAATCATAAAATTCAAATAAAGAAAAACAAACTGGAAAAAAAAGTGAAGAATGAATCTGTAGGCACAGATGGAAGCTATCTGAAACACTTCTTTAATATTTCAGCTCTTCAAATAGCTCCAATGGAGTTCTTTTCAGTTAGGATATAGAAGTACATAAAATAGCTTTGCTGACACCAAAAATATAAGTAATCAATAGATTTGTCCAGAGCTATAACTAATGAGGAACTCTGGCTACAAAGAAATCTAAAACTACCAAAGTGTAGTAGAAGCTTTAGAAAGATGGGTGAACAAAGATCAGAGGATAGCTGAGTCTGAAAGCAATTAGAGAAGCAAGATGGTCTTTGTTCAAATGAGAAGTCAGATCAGTTTTTACGAAACCTATGGGCTGCATATTAAATTTAAATCTGGAGAAGCCCCAAATCCAGAAATTACTCTGCCAAGTAGCAGTCTCTCAGATTTGTAGTCTTGCAGACCTACAGTTTCAGTCTTGTGATCTGGACAGCTGTAGTCTCATTGTTTCAAAGCCGAACCATTTCATACTCTGGAGACTCATAGTTTCATAGTCTTGCAGTCTTATGACATGTCATATTTAACATCCAGTCATCTTAAATCTGTCTACAGGTCTAGTAGTCTAGAAGTCTTGCAGTTTTGGGGTCAAGTAGACTCAGGGTCTTACAGATTTGAGATCTGACAGCATTTGGTCCCAGTGCAGTCCTGGAGGGAAAGACATGAAATCACTTTCAAAGTATCTAATCCTAGAGAAAAATGGAGTATAACCAAATTTCCAACCAAAATTCCATCTGATTTAATGTCTGGTAAGATCAGTAACATTTGACCTAGTGGTGGCAAAGGAAGCTAGAGATAGAATGAAAAACAGAAAGACAGCACATTAGACTTGTGGTACTTGAATTCCAAGGCCTTGTTGGAGGGGTTAAAGCCAAACAAACTTGCCCCAAAGTAGCTTAATTTATGACTAGATAAAATTGATCAGCCTCTCCACCTATCTTTCTAACAAAGAATAAAGTATTCCTTATTGAGAGTATAATATGATATGTTAAAAATAGTAATATTATGTATATCATTGCATAATATATTTTTAAAATCCATTATTTTGAAAAGATCTATTGCTTTAAATAGCTTTATAGTATCAATTGTCCTTAAACTGCCCCAGTGAGCCAATTTCCTCCCACCATGTTCCTCCCTCAATACATGGAGATCACAATTTGAGATGAGATTTGGGTAGGGACACAGAGCCAAATCATAAAACTATAATTCCTAGAGCAATCACTTGAAAGTACTACAGAAATTGCTAGGGCTTGAATATGGTTTGTTTGTCTCCATCAGATTTCATGTGTCTTTATTATGTTCCCAAACCGAAACTCCATAACCACATTAAATGATAATTTACCACCCCTCCTTTCTCCTAGTCACTGGCAACTACCATTCTACTTTCTCTTTTTATGAACTGAGTTGCTCCGGATATTTCATATAAGAGAAATCATACAGCTTTTGTCCTTTCATGACTGGTTTATTTCACTTAGAGTAATATTTTCAAGGTCCTTCTGTGTTATGGCATGTACCAGAATTTCCTTCCTTTTTAAGGCAGAATAATATTCCAATGTATGTATATTGCACATGTGTATACCATTTATCTGTTGATAAAATTTGGGTTACGTCCACCTTTTGGCTATTGTGAATAATGCTGCTATGAACATGAGTATACCAATATCTGTTCAAGTCCCTGCATTCAAATCTTTTGGGTATACACCCAGAAGGGAAATTATGGGATAATATAGTAATTCTATTTTTACCTTTTTCAGGAACTCCATACTGCATGCATCATTTTACATTTTCACTAGCAGTACACGGTTTCACTCCAACACTTTATTTTTTAAATAGTCATCCTAATGAGTGGTATCTCGTTGTTCTGATTTGCATGTTCCCCTAATAATTAGTGATATTGAGCACATTTACATATTTTTATAGGCCTTTTGCATGTCTTCTTTGGTGAAATGTCTATTTAAGTCCTTTGTCCATTTTTTAGTAGGGTCATTTGTTTTTAGCTATTGAGTTGTAGGGGTTCCTTATTATTTTTGATATTAACACTTTATCAGATAAGTGGTTTGCAAATATTTTCTCAAATTCCATAAGTTGCCTTTTCATTCCCTTGTTTTCTTTGCTGGGTAGAACTTTTTAGTCGGATGTAATTCCATTTGTCTTTTTTTTTGCATTTGTTCCCTGTGTGTTTGGTGTCATATCCAAGAAATCATTGCCAAGGCCAAGGTCAAGAAGCTTTCTTCTATGTTTTCTTCTAGGAGTTTCATGATGTCAAGTCTTAGACTTAAGTCTTTAATCCAGTTTTTGAGTTTATTTTTGTATATAGAGTCAGATAAGGGTCCAATTTTATTCTTTTCCATGTAGATATCCAGCTTTCCTAGCACCAAATGTCCATCAACAGGTGAATAAATGAACAAATTGTGGCACATTCACGTAACGAATACTACTCAAAAATACAAATGAATGAATCAGTATGCTCAACAACATAGATGACTTTCAGAAACATTATATTAAAAGGAAAAAGTCACACAAACTAGTGGATACCATATGATTACATACAAAGGTCTAGAATAGGAAAGACTAAGCTAGACTGATGGAAATCAAAATAAGTGGATAAGAATGGCCTAAAAGGGGTATGAGGTAGTACTCTGGGGTGGTAGAAAAAAATTCCTCATCTTTAATGGGGTGGTGGTCACAGAAGAATATACTTTGAAGTAGACCTTAAAATCTGTGCATTTTAAGAATATAAATCATACATCAATAAAGCAGATTGTTTTGGGGGAAAAAAAAAAGTTGTTCTACCCTCTTTCCCTGAAGAAAAGCAGTTAGTCCACTGATCGGATCAGAATGAGGATTAGTATTTCTTACCATTGCCTTCCCAGGAAGCGACATTAGAGGATACATCAGTCCATCTTTGTTTTATGTGAATTTAAGTGTGCCAATGTTCTTGGCAAGATTTCTGAAGCCTTCTTCATGTAGAAGACATTGGGGTGTCAATGTAAAGTGAGCTCTCCCGGGGTAACATGTGTTTACCGTGATTCTTTGAGGCATGCATGAAAATATACTGCTGCAGTCTGTTACACTGATGTTAATTAATTATATCACTTAACATTTATTTTATTAAAAAGGATATTACCATATGAGTTATCTAACTATCAATAGCCCATTTATTTTCCCTAATATGTTTACCAAACTTTTTTATTTACCATGTTTTCAATGGCAAGCCATTATGGTAGAGATAGATTATTCAGCAGGGCCTTGTTAGATAGCAGAATTTTAATTTGAAAAATAGCCTCAGTCCATACTTTTTTTTAAAGGTACAATTACCTTAAGTCATTCCAGATTGATTCACTCTATTTCCTATTTTTAAGCATTCACCAGGAACAAAATTTCCATTTTCTCTTTTCCAAAATTTAGAATTACTATCTTTGCAGCTTTTATTTCAAGAAAGCTCCTCTTTGCACTAAGTCAAATCCTTTGTGCAGAGGTGTAGTCAAGCAGGCAAGGCAAAACACATCCTGCGCCAAGGAACCTTTACCCTGACACTACTAATCAGCAGGCAGAAGAGGTAATAAGTAGCCAGTTAACATTAAGAGGTGGGGGCCCAAGCACAACAAAGTGAGGAAAGTAATTTTATTCATCAGGATAGGCTAGTTGCACTATGGTAATTGACAATCCAAAAATCTGGGTGGATTAAAACAATAAAGGTTTATTTCTTACTCATGCTGCATTTATATCAAAGGTTGGTGGAAGTTAGGGTATGCTGACTCTATTCAAGACATTCTCACTTAGGAACCTAGGTGGATGTTTCTGCTATCAGACAACCACTGTCACTTCCAATCGTATTTCACTGTCCTTATTGAGGCAGGAAAGTCCCCTGAGTAGAGAAAGAATGGATATTGGTGAGTAGTAACATTGTTGACCACATTGATATTAAAAATATATACAGGAAAATCAAAGGTTCTCAAAGGAGTGTGGATCTGCAAGTAGCAAAACTTAAAGATTTATGAAGCAAATGGGCTGGAGGACAGATTCAGAGCTGCAGTTCCAAGAGGTGAAACTGGCAACTATAAGAGGAACTAGAAGACTGGACAGAAACTTGGAAATGGACAAAATTATATTTCCAGGCTCTCTGCTCCTCCTGTTCGAGAGTCAGCCGCATTTTCTCTTGCATCGCCAGCGCATCTCTGACACACCATGGGGAAGGTGAAGGTCGGAGTCAACGGATTTGGTCGTATTGGGCGCCTGGTCACCAGGGCTGCTTTTAACTCTGGTAAAGTGGATGTTGTTGCCATCAATGATCCTTTCATTGATCTCAACTACATGGTTTACATGTTCCAGTATGATTCCACCCATGGCAAGTTCCATGGCACCGTGAAGGCTGAAAACGGGAAGCTCGTCATCAATGGAAGCCCCATCACCATCTCCCAGGAGCGAGATCCCTCCAAAATCAAGTGGGGCGATGCTGGCGCTGAGTACCTCGTGGAGTCCACTGGCGTCTTCACCACCACGGAGAAGGCTGGGGCTCATTTGCAGGGGGGAGCCAAAAGGGTCATCATCTCTGCCCCCTCTGCTGACGCCCCCATGTTCATCATGGGTGTGAACCATGAGAAGTATGACAACAGCCTCAAGATCGTCAGCAACGCCTCCTGCACCACCAACTGCTTAGCACCCCTGGCCAAGGTCATCCATGACAACTTCGGTATCGTGGAAGGACTCATGACCACAGTCCACGCCATCACTGCCACCCAGAAGACTGTGGATGGCCCCTCTGGGAAACTGTGGCGTGATGGCCACGGGGCTCTCCAGAACATCATCCCTGCCTCTACTGGCGCTGCCAAGGCTGTGGGCAAGGTCATCCCTGAGCTGAACGGGAAGCTCACTGGCATGGCCTTCCGTGTCCCCACTGCCAACGTGTCAGTGGTGGACCTGACCTGCCGTCTGGAAAAACCTGCCAAGTACGATGACATCAAGAAAGTGGTGAAGCAGGCGTCGGAGGGCCCCCTCAAGGGCATCCTGGGCTACACTGAGCACCAGGTGGTCTCCTCCGACTTCAACAGCGACACCCACTCTTCCACCTTCGACGCTGGGGCTGGCATTGCCCTCAACGACCACTTTGTCAAGCTCATTTCCTGGTATGACAACGAATTTGGCTACAGCAACAGGGTGGTGGACCTCATGGCCCACATGGCCTCCAAGGAGTAAGACCCCTGGACCACCAGCCCCAGCAAGAGCACAAGAGGAAGAGAGAGGCCCTCACTGCTGGGGAGTCCCTGCCACGCTCAGTCCCCCACCACACTGAATCTCCCCTCACAGTTTCCATGTAGACCCCTTGAAGAGGGGAGGGGCCTAGGGAGCCCCACCTTGTGGTGTACCATCAATAAAATCCCCTGTGCTCAGCCAAAAAAAAAAAAAAAAAAAAATTATATTTCCAGCCTTGCAAACTGTGGCAATGAGGACAGGTATTACTAGGGTTCTTGCCAGCAGGAATTAGAGCATCTTGAAAATCAGAGCATCAACAAGAAAAGTTTGGATCTAGGTGCAGCTTGAGAGCCAGAAGGCCAATCCTGGGTCACTATGTCTTAAAGCAACCAACAAAGAATATCCTAGGGTGTACCTGGTTAGTTCTTCTGAGTGGAAATTGAAGTCTCCAAAATTCTTTGTGCTTCAAGTCTGTATTTAGTAATAACTATGGGGAAACTAGACAAAGAAGAGGCAGAGATAATGAGTTGGGATTGATGACGTCTGATGTCCAGTGTCTTGTAGTTTGCTTGCCTGAGGAGATGAAAGTGCATCCATGAAAAAATTAAAAATTGACTCCTAGCCTCTCTATAAATATTCTAGAGTAGATTTAAGGAAGGACAACTTCCAGAGAAAACTTAATGGAGGAAGTTGGCCTGGTAGTATTTTCTGAGCCAAGTAAACTTCCTATGGCTGTGTGTCTAACCCAATCCACTACAAAGGTATTTTCTAGCTTCCTGAGAGCATGCATGATTTTATAGGAGTCTACCTCCAGAAACAAGAGGTCCACTTGGTGGTACCTTCTATATCATACTGGGGAAATGATCCTTAAGACATTTTATTTGGTTCAACCCAAACCCAAGGAACCCTTTCTTAGGTAGATCACAATTTATACCTGCGATATGAGAAGAAAGTGTTTCTTACTCATTCAGGGAAATGTGTTTTGTGTCTTGCTTTAGCTTAGAGTAAGTAGATAAGAAATTCTGGGCAATGTAATATACTTCTATGGCTTCACATTTTATCTCTCCTGGAAACTTTCAAATACAATTTTGTCCTAGACTCCTCTTTCTGAGCCTCAGCTACATACTGAGCTGCATGAAAATGTCCCAAAATAATTTTGCATATTTCCCCCGAACTGGATCCTCCTCTTAATTAAATGCCTAAAGACAGTAAGCCAGTTACCCAATTCAGAAATCTCTGATTCCTCCTTGCCTCCTGCTTCTTCTAAACACTCAAATCCAGTCAATTGCCAAGTCCTAATAATTCTAACAGCTTAATAACTGTCAAATCTGTTCCTATTGTCCATTCCCACTACTTCAGGTCCTCAATATTTCTTATCAAGACTACATTTTCACCCGTGTTCTCCCATCTTCATTCTCTGCTCAGCCTCTTCCCCTGTTCTCAATTCTGCAATAAGAGGCTTCTTCCTAGAATGTAACTGTCACGTTAATCCTCTTTTTAAAAGTTGTTGCCCTAAAGAGAAACTCCAAATTGCTCAGCTGGACCTTCCTGACTGCACACTGCTGATCTCTCTAACCTTTAGTTCTCCCAGACTCTTGCAGAGTCCCAGCAGTCTGCTTTCCAAAGACATTGAACAGCTTTCATGCTCACAAAAGAACTCTGCCCTTTTTTTTTGGCTCTGGACTCTGGATTCCTCTTTTTCCTCCAGCAAAGCCCTTAAGTAGTACTGTGGCTCAGGAAAGCAGGCTGATACGTCCTCCATGCCATGGTGAAACCAACTAACCATATTTATGGTAATGGAATAATACCATGTTCATGTATAGCTTTGGCCTATATATATATGAATACTGCAATTATTCAGTGTTAGACCCAAAAGGCAACAGGTCAGTTTTTCATAACCTTTCAGGTTTTCTCCAGTCTTCAAACTAGAGACAAAAGAGTACATGCAAAACAATGTTTAAGTTTATCGCTAGTGGCTTTACTTCTAAATTCTTTTCAACACAGTGATAATCTGAAAATATAGTCTGAGGCAAATTTCATTTTTGTTGAAAATACAGTAATCTAATTATACCCAAACCTCATTGACTAGAATATGCTAATTTACAAAAATCTATTCAGGCTGATAATTTTGTTTTTTAACTATGATCTGAAAAAAAAAAAAGTAACTCCAGCCAGCTGTTTTACAAATGCCAATGATAAGAGGAATCAGGTGAAACAGTGTTGATAGATTCATATAGGCCCATCAACTTATCAGAAATCCAAACCAAGCCTCTTTCTTAGGAGTTGGGGGAAGTAAAATGAAGAAAAACAGATTCTTTTCATTAAATCAAAATGAAAATCTCAAAGCCTGGTAATATTCATTGTCAAAAAATAAAGAGATACATGTATGCTGGGCTTCATACTTTAACATAGAAAACAAGACATTTAGCTTTAAATAAAGTGCATTTAATTTTTTCTGATTAAATGTGTTATTTATTGAAACAACCATGACTTAGAAGATATCAATTCTAGGTTTTTTCATATTATATGCAAATTAATAAATGTTCTCTAATTGCAAAAGGAAATTCTGAGAGAGAAAATATTTTACACAGCTAAATATTTTATTTTGTGCTGTAGAGGATTATGTTCAACCTTATCATCAACATTTAGTAGTAGAACTAAGCTTAATTATATTAATTCTAGAATTAATTATAGACTACCAGGACTAAAATTCAATTAATACTAGAATAAATTGAAGAAGTAACTATAATTCTACCAGTAGAAAGTTGTGGTTTGAGAAGTCGGGAATACAGAAATAAAGCATAAGCAATAAGCTGAGTTTAAATTTAAAATATTAGGCACAGTAAGGTTTGGCATTCATTTCACCGAGTGCCTCCTCTACTCACATACGTTTAACTCAGGGTTAGATTGGTGGTTGGGAGGGGTGGCAAGGTGAGGGTGGGATGTGGGGCAAATGATCGTAGCAGGAAATCAACTCTGAACCAAGTCGCAAAACTAAGCAATAAATTCCAGAGTGCAGTCTAGTTCACACAAGCTTCAGGCTCAAAAGCCTCCAATTGTAAATAGAACTTCCAATTGTAAGGCAGCTTTCTGTACTCCAAACTGTTCATGGGAGTCCTGAGGGTTTTAAGTGGCCAGACATGAGTGTAAAATTCAAATGTCATTCAAATTCCATTACAATATTTAAGAAGCTAACATACAGGAAAACAGTTGGCACAAAATCAGTGCCGAGAGCAAGTATAATTCCCAGTGCAGAGTGAACCAACCCTTAGGTCACTGTGAATTGAAGCAGTGACTTAAATTCAAAACTAGGCTGAGGATTCATGGGCTAATACTGTCAGTGACTTAAAACTGGATCCCAAGGAAAAGGACTATTTTCCATTGATAAAGAGGACGGTTCACTGCCAGGCAGCTGGAGACTATCTTGCAGGGGCTTTTTAAACAGCCAGCATGAGTATCTAAATGACTACTACAAAGAAAAAAAAAAAAAAAAACCTAATAATCCTCAAATTTTAGATGTCCTGGAAGGCTTTTAATCTATTTTGGTGTTTGGTCTTCATTTGTGCCTGTTAAAAATAGGACACTATACAATATTATAATTAATTAACAGTTGTTGAATGTAGTCTCTAGCAAATGGAATGGTGGAAGTTACCATCCTTTGTAGAAAAGAAATATACTACTCATGACAGCTTATATCATAAAATAGGACTCACTGGTTGCATTGTACTTACAAATATTTTCATCGCAGTTATTGAATTCAATAAAATGTCATAAGGTACTCTTAGCCTCTGGCCAAAACTGACACAGAATTTAATTTGCACTAGTCAGCTAAAGACACAAAATGTTCCTGGGGAAAATTCTGCTGTGCTATACAAACACGCAACACTTACTGACAGGTCCATGGAAATCCTGTGCCTATGCAAGTAGTGGGGGTGATGCTGATAACACCACTGGAATGAAGTAAAGTGTTCACTATTTGACATAATAATCTAAATTGTTTCTAGACCTTAGTTTCCTCCCTAAAGGTCAACATCTTCATTTTTGCAACTTCTAGCTAAGAGCATTGGCAAATAAAAGAAAACCCAGGGGAACGGGTTCTTTTTAAAGAAATTTGGTAGAAAACAGACCATTTGAAATTGATTCTAAATTACCTTTTGGTGGTTAGTACAAGACCTCCCACAGCCATTTGAACTAGAGGTGAAGGTGACTTTCTCTCAGTAAATAGGATAGGGGATTTTTTTTCTTCCTGAAGAGTCAGGATTATGTGACCTTATAAATTGGTCTCATTACAGAGCTACTGACAGACAGACATATTGGTTGCTGCCAGTGGGCATATGGGCTGAAATTTGGAGGAGGAGGGGAGAACAGATGGAAGAGGGAAAAAGAGTGATGGATGGGTCCCTCACACAGAGACCAGCTGGTAGGGAGCAGGGCATGTCTATTACTGCTAAGCTGAGAAAGATAAGAGTGTCTGCAGTGGGAAAGGTGACATCCATCAATCAGCTTCTTCATTATGGCAAGAATGAGGCTTGTGGTCTGAGGGTGGAGGAAGGGGACCGGTCATCCCACACCCCACAGGTGGCAACTCTGAAGAGGGCTTATCTTTCACATTGTCGGGAAAAAGAAGAATGTGCCCTTCATGAATTTGGGCTGTTGTGGGTCCTTCAGAGAAAACTCAGTTAGATGGTTTAATATTATTTTCAAGTGCTTTTATGTTGAGTCGAATATAGCATGAATGCCACACTTCATAATGTAAGACAGCAACATTACAAAGGTTTTCCAGGTGAACCTCAAGTTCTCTTCCGTCTCTATGGCAATGTCCAAGGCAAATGGAGTGGAGGCAGGAAGGCTCTCTAAGGGTTTCTAGAATGTAAGCTCCTTCAGAGTAGTGACTTCTTGGTCTTGCTTATCTCTAATACCCAGGTGGTTAAAACAGAGATGTGGAGTAAATATGTATTGAATACATTAAGTTGAAATTATAGAAAATGCCTCAAAATGACTTTAACTCCCAAGAAAATACATTTTCTGGCTCTTTCCCGGACATCTGTTATCACCTTACCAACTCCTCTTTTCCACGGCTGACATTCTGGAGATATAAAGGCAACTTCAATGAGGAACAGCAGCAAATGGAACATTTGACACTACAGGTAGTTAATAGCTACACTCAAATGGTAAAGAGTTGCACTGAAGCTTTACACTTCAGTGAGGACATGATGAAATT